AACCTTGCAATTAAGCAGTTGCTTTTTAATGATGGTGTTACAGAGATGAGTATGATGTTGCTCCTAATATATGGATGACAGGAAAGATGTGCCCATAACCTGTATTGCTTCTGTGTCTTTTTTTTCCCCTTCATAGCTCATATATCTCCTCCACTAGTTTTAATAAACCTGGTATTTTCCTCAGAATTTTCACACTGAATGTGAAATGTGGTGGTGGTGATGGGTTGATGGTTGGACTGGGTGATCTAAGTGGTCATTCCAACCATAATGATTCTGTGATTCTAAATGCTGCACGCACTTCACATCTTCTCTGGAATTGCCTTCCAATAATCTCAGGAGGTTTCTGCCTCAGCTTTTCATGGACAACACATCAAACACAAATCTGCAAGTCAGGAAAGACCAAGAAGCTGTTAGCTTCATGCTTCAAATATGGGCACCTGTGGGCTTGAGTGTTCATGGTCCTCAGAGATGCTAAAGCAGATTCACTGTAGCACTGATGTATCCACATCTCATTGATCAGGGAAAAAAAAAAAAAAAAAAAAAAAAGCATTAAGAAAAAATAATCCTAAAACAAGGTTACTGAGCATACTGTAAATCAGAGATAATAAGCCAGATCCTCATCTGATACAAAACATCAAAGCTTCTGGACTCAGTGGAGCTCTATGGGCTTATATCAGATGAGGATGTGGTACGTCACATCCAGCAACTGAGAGCTCACATGGTCCTACAGGCGTATTTTTAAGATTATACAGCTGATGCTTATAAGTACTATGGCCATGAAAAAGCTTGCTGTTATTATTTATACTTATTATGTTTAGCACATACAATTTATTCAGTGCTGTACTGAAAAAAATAAAAAATAAAAAAAATCAAACAATAAAAGCAATTCCTGACCCAAAGGACTTACAGCCTGAAAAACAGGCATCAGGAGTAAGGAACATGCTGTGAAAACAAGAGAAGGGAACAGCCAATAGTTATTACACTTGTTATTGTTTGCTCATGATGTACAATCATCACAGGAAGAGCAAATTTTTAGCTGGGATCTTGGCGAGGGGAAGGTGGTAACCATCAGTTGACCCTGGGAGGAAAGCAGAACAGAAAGCACCACTGAGATGGAGACAATAAGGAGACAAATGAGATTTCAGGGTTACAGGTAGAAAGGGGCCAAGAGGTAAAAGAAATAAGGCACAAAGTCCAGGACATAGGCTAGAATAGAGCTGTAAAAGAGATGGGACATAAAAGCAGGCACGTAAGTATTTTTTTGTGAGAGGGAGGTATCATGGCTGTGTGTGTCTGTACATGGGCGGCCTCTTACCCCACTGTGACAACGACTTGAGTGACAGCTTCACCTCAAAAAGAAATCACTGCTTACTGTGATCCAAAAACAAACATCTGGATATTCTGCTTTGGCTGAAGAAGCATTTGTAGAACTTGCTTTCTAGAACTGTCTCTATTAGACACCGCAAAACATGAAATAAAAGTCTTGATTTAGACAAATACAAAATGTAGCGACTAAAAGCTAGACAACCCGGGATCAAGAAATTACAAAAGGTTCATTTATAAGAGCGCTGGATGTCTGGCCACTTTTTGTTAATAGCAACTTCCAAACAAAACTCTCATTGACTTCAAATGGAGCAGGAACAGACCCAAAGATAGCAAATGAGCCAGTAACTCGATACGTGGTCTGTACGACACACCGGGCCACCTTACGCTGTGGCATTTGATATTGATTGCAGCTTGGAAGCTCTACAGCTATACCTTTTTTTTTTTTTTTTTTTTTAAACACAACTATTCAACCTCTACAGAACTGATGCTCGCTCAGAATATCTAGAATTACCAGTGCCAAAAATACACTGATTACGTATGTGGCTTCTTCTACCTAAACATTGTTAATGGCTAACATATCACGCTCAGAATTAGCTTCTTGTTTGACACGACACAGTCAGGAGTTAAATAAATCTGCAAATTGTTTTTAATGCATGGGAAAAACTTCATTCTATGCATCTGTCTGACACAGGCGTTGAGGAAGGGGACACATCACCCATGGGCCTTCACCAGGGCTGGCCGTGCACTGAGCCCAAGCACACAGCTAAGGAGTGAATTTTGGTGTAGGGTTGTTAAATAAAGCAAATAACAACGCGAATGCCTACAATACTGAACCACTCCTCATGTCCTTTGGTCTCCTCATTCGCAGCTTTCCAGCACATGCGATACGTTTTACTGCTAGTGGAGATTTTCCATCTCTTGTCTGGTGTAAACGAACACAAAATTATGACATTGGACAATACCCATCCTCCAGTCTGGACAAATCAGACTACGCATATTGGATACAAATAAAAAGAGACAAACAGGAGGCGTGTGGGGCTGTGTGTTTGGGACAGACACGTTACTCAGAGGTCACGAAGCCCCAAGTGATGTTGGTTTGACCACCTCAAAAAAATAAAGAAAGAGCTTACCACATGGAAATGGGTTTTGTTTATGCCACAGATTTGTGTATTCTCATGAATTTTCTATTTGAGATGGTACTCATCCATCACTATTTGAATTACTGTAGTTTACTGGGAAGCGGAAGTGTTAATGGCACAAATAAAACCCAGGGAAAGTGCTCCTTAGCAGAGAAGAGCTTACAGTATTCTCCCATTTCACTTCACTGGTTAAAGGCTGTCTTACAGCCCTGACACAACACATTATTACATTTTCGATGTTACGGCAGAGTAAAAGACATAGCACGTATTAATTGGAGAGCGAATTCATTAACGGCATAAAAGTAACAATCAATGAGAATTGATCGGCGTGCTTCTGTTCATCTGGAAACCCTTTCCACACCCTTTTGATTTTCCAAGAATATACCGAATAATAATAATAATAATAATAATAATAATAATAATAATAATAAACACTTGAGAAGACCGCGTTAATATTTAATTACTGTACACTTAAGCAAAACGTTCACCAAATACTGCAGAAAGTGGATTTTCAGTCATCAGTTAAGCGCACAGATTGTCATTATAGCTACATTCCAAAGAATAAAGGACAACATTCATTCTTGCTGCAGAGAAAATTAAGTCTCTTAAGTGCCTCTCTTTGCTGCGGAGCACTTGCTTGTTATCTTTGTGCTATATTTTATTTTCCTTTTTGGTCACACGGCACCCACTCAGGTGCAGCTGCTCCTTGACACCATCTCTCTAAGTTTTCACTGCCTTTTGTTGGTTTCTCTTTCAATTCAATTGGTGCCACTTTCAAAGTGACTGTTTGGAAACATGCGCCAAAACAACTGCTTTGTGGCAGACCCTCCCTGTCTGTGATCTTGGATGTTCCAACCCAAGGCCACAGAGCACAAGCCTACAAATCCTGGGTTGAAGCCCCTGACCTCCTTGCTCAGTATCTGGGGGCCCACCCTCTGTTACAGGGGTGAGAGCTCAGGAAGGAGCGTGGGCCTGCTGCTGCGCAGCGGCTTTTAACTGCGATCTGAAGCCCTTCTGCTGAACCCAGCTTCTGAACAGCAACAACAGAAGGAAAGCAAACAGATAAAAAAATCTATTAAAGCACAGGATCACTCCTAACACCAATACTGACATTTCTAAGCGTGTCCCTTAGCTGGGAGATGGTTGATGTCTCTTTGGGCTCACACCTGATTTTTGTGGCTACCGTGGTCATTTCCGAGTACTCCCACAACATCCAAAAAACATACTCAAGAGGTCATAGAGGAGTAGACCCAAAGCCCTGGCTCTCCAGAGTCACACTGCTGGCTTTTCAAATTCAGTACTCACTTCAACAGCTAGCTCAGGGAATGGATGGTGAACGTCCTCATGCTTTGGCTGGCAAAAAGCAAATTGTTCCAAAGTTCATCTTCATTCAACAAGAAAGGGAAAAGCATTTGAATGCATAAAGGTATTATTTCCTCTGCTCTCATTTAGTAGAAACCCCACATAACTTAATTGTTAAACTATGCATATGGACCGAAAGCTTAAAATCAGATCTGTGACAAACACTGTGCGTGGCACATAAACCGAACATTGGTATTTATAACTGAAATGAGGACATAACCTTAACTCGTGTCGCAGGCAGAAAGGCTGTAATTAAAAACTTTTATGGGGCAGTAACTAATTTTGCATGATAGGCGCTCTTTCCAAGTTCCCACCGCAATATAAAGTTTTATGGGCCGCCCGCTATCAGCGCGCAGCGGCGTTACTCAGCCCCAGCGGCTCTCCCACTCCCGAGGGCTTTGGCAGGGAGCAGCTCCACGCTGGGGTCTGTGACACCTGCCCCGCGGGGACAACGCGCCCGCCGACACATGGGGATCCCGCAACGCGTGGCAATACATCACAACACGAATAAGAGAAACGCGCGGCCGTGATTTGGGGCAGAACTCCGCACCTCTACCCCCCCACTTCCCCCCCCAAATCCCAAACCCCTTTCCCTCACAGCGCGCACCCCGCCGGCACCCGGCAGCTGCTCCGGCAGTTGCGGGGGGGGGAACAGTGGGGGGTAGGCAGCGCTTCCCACCTCTGCCGCTAATGACATTTCTAGAAATGGGCTCCCCCCTCCCGCAGACGGGGGGGCGCGGGGGAGGTCAAGGGCACACGGTGCAGGGGGCCAGGGAGGCAGGGAGTGGAGCACTGAGAGCAGCCAAGCTGGGGGAAAGGGGAGTGCGGGAGCGACAGGGGTGTCTGCGGCACTAGGAATGATTTGGGGGTGCAGCCGACGGGGAGGGGGCACCCTCCTGGAGGGGAGCGAGCGGCAGGGGGTCCCTCGGGGTGCTGCACCCCTCCTGCTGAAGCCCCTCCGGTGATGCCTTCCCTCCCCCCCCCCCACCGAGACGATGCACCCTAGTGGTGCAGCACCCCGCGTTTATCGCTGCCCTCCCGCTAAACGCACCGCCGCCCCCAAATGATCTCAGCCCCCGATGGCTGCACACCTCCGATGAGCGCGCACCCCTCGCTCTGGTTCCATTCCCCTCCGCCCATCCCGTGTTCCCCCAGCCCGTACCCGCCGCTTACCACAGCGAGTCCAGGTCCCACTCCTGGAGCAGAGCTAAGTCGAAGCTGTCCATGGTGAGCTCAGCTCAGCTCAGCTCAGCTCAGCTCAGCGCCGCTGCGCCGCAGCCGCCCGGCGTCCGGGACGCATCCCGACTGCACGGCGGGCGGGGACACCCCCCTCCTCGCCACCTGCCCCCGCTTTCCAAACAGAAAGGAACAAATTAAATAATAATAATAATTAAATAATAGTATTTATATCAAAAAAAAAAAAAAAAAAAAAAAAAAAAAAAAAAAAAAAAGATCGTGACACCGCTCGTTTGGAAGCGGCGCGGCTCGGCTCGGCTCGGCTCGGCCGCCGTGCTCCGCTCCCGCCCCGCTCCGCTCCCCCCCGCACCTCCTTCCTCCCTCCCTCCCTTCTGCGCGCCGAGAGCGCGGCCGAGGCGGCGCCCGCCCCGCGCACGCTGCGCCCGCGCAGAGTCCGCGCAGCGCCCGCCCGGCGCGGGGGGGCGGGCCCAGGCTCGGCACTTGGTGACAACTTGCACTCGGGGCACGGTCGGGTTTTTTGGGGTTCTCACGCGTGCCCTCGTGCTGTGCCGTGGGTTGCACCTGTGCGAAGCGCAGCACCTACGGGTTGCATCTACGTACAGTCCGCGCAAATGTGCGCGGTGGGTCGAGACCCGCGTTATGCACGGGTCCTTTAAACGCGGTGATGGGTGGCTGGGCATAGAGGTGCCGGTGGAGGGGGCGATGCGTTTCGAACGCTTCCCTTATCATCGGGCTTTTTGGTTGCCGGAGAAGTGCCGTGTCATCGCAGAAGAGAGAAACAATGTGCAGACGCGCTCCGAGGGAAAGGCTCGAAACCGGCACGGCTCTCCGAAAGCCCTCAGAACCCTGAGCCGCTCCTGAGCTGCCTCGATGCCTTCGCACAGCCAGGGCGCTGCTGCCTCCTACTGCCGGCACTGCCCGGCCCCGCTCCTGGCACGCGGCACGGGGAGGGCTGCGGCATCGGGGCAGCCGCCTGGCAGAGATGAGAAGGGAAAAAGCGGGGCAACGTCGATAGAGCCGCCTAGAAACAGCCTTTGCTGTCGGCTGAGGGAGGGCTTAGAGGGGCTGACGAAATTCCCCGTGCAATATTTAAAAAGGCTGCTCTGAAAGTAATGCCTCCTGTTTGATTCTTTCTGCCCACGGTGACACAGGCAGATGTTGGTGGGATGGCAGTAGAGGTTGAACGTTCCCGCCAGCATCCCGTTGTATGTTGTTGCCGTGCGACAGATGGCAGCAGAGGGGCGGTCTGACACAATGGTGTCTGACATGGAAGTGCGGATGGAGCAAAGGTGTGTCACTGAGTTTCTCCATGCGGAAAACAATGGGACCCATTGAGATTCCTCAGTTCTGAACAGTTATTGAAATCAACCAAGGAAAAGTTGAACTGCGTGGGTAACATTTTTCTAGCGACAACACTGTTGTAACAGCTACGAAACAGCAGGTCACCTCCAGTGGTGCAGACACTTACAAGCATAGCTTGTAAGCTCTTATTCAACACTGGTGAAAATGCATGGCTAATGGTGGTGGCTATGTTGAAAAAGAACGCTTTGTTCCTGAGAATTTGCTCTATCAAACAGTGCTGTGGTACACTTTGTTTCTGTTGTAGTCTCCATTGAAATAAATAGGAGGCATTATTTTTGGAGCGACCTACACATTTATGTGTGAAGAAGCAAGGGCAGCCTACTGACATTGACCTTAAGCATGTCCCACCCTGTAACACCCTGGACATTCTAAGCGACATTTTCTAGCCCTTGTTGCAGCATGAGTCCTTCCACAGAGCCCCAGCTGTGGCTAAGCTGAAATCCCCCTTAAAGGGGAATTGAAAGTGGGAGGTTTGGGCTGCCGTTGTGAACCAAATCAATAGAGGGAGACCCCTCTGCATCAGTGGTGGAGTTGGTCCTGAGTCCTGTGATGGCACTTTACAGACCCAACAGAGACTTGGAGGGACATTCTGTGAGCTAAATTCATCCTCCAAACCAAGATCAATGTGAAAAGGAGACAAACAGCATCAGCAGCACTGAGTGAGTTAATTTTCAGATAGCAATACATAACAGTAGTGACATAGGCAGCATGTTTTATGTTTTTAATATGTTTTAATACATGAGGTTTTTTATTTTTCTTTTGTTTTTTTTGCACATCTTGCATGTATATTGTTATTGTTGTGTTCTTTTCTTTCCCATCATGGCCATGTTTCTCTTCTCAGGCAGAACACAGTACATCAACACTAACTGCATTGAAATTAATATCCTCTGAAGATCACTGTTCAGCTGCCCAGAGCTGATTGGGTTGGGTTGGGTTGGGTTGGGTTGGAAGGGACCATCCAATACAGCCTTTAGCACCTCCAGGGATGGGACACCCACAGCTTCTTGGGCAGCCTGTGCCAGAGCGTAACTACCCTCTAAATAAAGGATTTCTTCCTAACCTCTCCTCTTTTAGTCTGAAACCATCATCTCTATCTGCGGGACTTGGCAGTGTGATATTCAGCTCGTGCAGGGAGCAAGGCCTGCTTCCTCAGGAATGCATGGTACTGTATAAATAAAAATAAGCTATGTGCTATCTAACACTGCTCATTGTGCATATATTTTTAATGAATCATGTAGACATTACTTGGCCCCTCGTTGTGCTCTTTCCTATGTTAACAACTCTTCATTAAGAAAAAGCAAGCAACTGTGCCCAGTCGAGCTGACTTTCTATGAAGAGCTGAAGGTCTGAGAACTGTATGTAATTCAAACCCATTACATAAAGAATGCATGTTACAAGAAAGCTGAACATCATCTTAAAAGTTGACATTTCCCTCTTCTCAGATGTTCTGTCTTGAGTGTGGCATAGCAACTGCCTGAGGAAGAGCAGAGATAATTGTAATGCAACATAAAATAAGGGGGAGGTGAGAAATACTACATTTTTCACATCCTATGTGAAAAATATCCCCATAGTATCTGTTCAGCGTAACCTGCCTTTATAATATTTACCCAGTGCGAAATGAATTCCCAAAGAACTCTCAAGACCTCGGCTGAATGCTTTCACAGACCAGCGAAGGAGTTCTGGAGGTACCGTAAGATACAGAATGATTTACATGTATTTACCAGCATAGGAAATTCCTCAGTATGGCGGAATCACAGAATGGCTTGGAATGGAAGGGACCTTGAAGCCCATCCAGTCCCAACCCCTGAGGGATGAAAAGCCAGGAAGCATTACTTAGCCTTGCTCCTGCAGCTCATCACTGTGCTGAGTGAGGCTCCATGGGGCAAGAGCTCGTAAAGCAGAGTGGGTGTTGCAGAATCGGTCCCTTGGAGCTTTAGGATGTGTCCTATTTGTCCAGTGAGCTCTTAAGAAGTCCATTGCCTGTCTTTTACAACAAAAGGGTTGTTTTTTAAATTTCAGTACAACACTCCACTTCAATTAGATACTTAGAGGCTTAAATACAGTGGAGTTTTAAATGTGTTTTTTCTCAGCCTGGTAGAGTTCAAAGCAAGGCAGAGCTACTGGATTATCCAGTCCAGTGGGCCATATACCACTGCCCAACCATTTTGACAGTCTTCTACTGAACCTCGCTGTCTGAGCAGCTGCACAGCCCATAGTTTAGTTCTCCAACCGTAATAAAATGCACATTCATAAATAATTTTACTCACTGAACAGCGTTTGTTCCCTCCTGCATCTCTATATCTTCACCCTGATGATATTTCATTACAGAACTGCTAAGTTCCATCACACATCCAGCAACTGTGGCTTCAGCAGAGAGCAAAATGACCTCTGAACAGAGCTTTGACTCGCAATCTGCACTGAAATTCCTTAGGATGAAAGTTGTGTTCATATCTAATAACCAATGTATGCCAAACCCTACCTCTGACTTCTTGTTAAGTGCTCCTCAATCCCGTGCTCTTACATGCCACTTACTGTGCTATTATCTGCTGTGTTCACTGGGTGGTTCTTTGCTAGTCACTACAGAAGATGCCAAAATTATTGTGAATGATTTCTCTCCTGCAAATATCATCACAGCCTATTTATACGCTGTGGCTTCTGAGATTTGATAAGACCAGAGTGTAATATGGCATGGATACAGATGCTGTCAAAGCTAAGCTAACACAACATATTTCATCGCCCTCCCACTTAACATGCACACTACACAAATGGTTACAAACTATCTCTCTTTTAAAGAAGCAAAATATACGGGTTTAATTTTTAATGATTTAGCTTGGTAATTAATCCGAATTATTAGTTAACAATTGCTAAAACGGAGAACGATAATGGATTCGGCGGATAATGAAAATATTTATTATTTTAATAAGTTGCCTGGCTGGAAGCCTCAGTCAGACCCCCGTCTGTTGGCCACATCCTGCTTTGGCTCACGTGCAGGACCCCCAGCAGGCGTGTCTGCGGCTGTGCCCCCGGACGGAGGAACAGAAATCGCCGCTCCCATCTATTGATGACGACATCTATCATGTCAGCCAGAGAATTGATCCGTCTTAAATTATGAGCCGGGCCTGAAGGAATTATGCCAATTAGAGACACGCATTTCTTTTCTCTCGTTTCTCTCTTTCCTGTCCTTTTTTTTCTTTTTCTTTTTTTTTTTTTTTTTTTTTTTCCTCCACACAAAAGGTTTGGAGTTCTATTTGTGTTATGAAAGTCCTCCTGTAGGCTGAGAAGGATTTAAAAAGAATATTTAACTACGGGACAGAAGTGCTATCAGGGCCATCCGGGGCTCAGGGGAGGGGAAGGTCAAGTTTTTAACCTGCCAACAAAAGGACTGAACTCAACGCTACGCCTGGGCTTTCCCTGGGCTCAGGGAAGAACAAAGCCCTTTTACTGGATGAGGCTCTCTGGGTGACAGGGGCACGACCCACAGGGCTGGCAGCAAGTGAGACCAGCAGGTATGCGGGGCTTGGGGGGCCGCCCCAGGATCAGGCATGGGGTGGGAGCACAGGGAAGCAAAGCAAAGCTCCTCAGTGTCCCCACTGCCATGCTGCTGAGGGCATGGGACAACCATAGCAGAGACCCTAACAAAGCCAGCGTTGGCACATCTGGGAAAGAGCACAGTGAAATATATGTTTTTGGGTGATTTACAAACCAAAATAAGGAGAGGCAGGTTGTCCTCAGTGAATTACCACATGGCTTTATTATGCTCTCCAGGGGTTTCAGTAGCTGCGTACCAGCAGCCTGGATATGCTGTGGAGTTCAGACTGGGAACATCCCCATTGCCACCCTTTGAACTGTCCTGGTTGCATCCAGTATGCAAA